GCGCGAAACTCATCGAGACATTTGTCTTATTACTATTTCTTCCAAACATTTTGCGGGTACCATTCTTCGACGACTTACTGATCCACAGGTGTACCGAACCACGGCGTGGTCGTGGTTTGCCTCGACTACACATTTTCACTTCGTCAAATATCAGAGCAGAGAAAACAGACCAACGAATATGTTCGTTTTCCTTGACTATACAGATGTCTAGGCGTAATAAAACTCGTTTTACGGCAGGATAACCGGCGTTTGGCTCTCCGGAATGATGTCAATCCATTTCTGGGAACTCAACCGGCGTGTCTCGCTTGCTTTTGTTTCTTAACTTTATATTGTGGCACAAAAGCTGAGATGTTTTCCATCTGCAGTTAACGTGTATAAGCAGGAAGAGAATGCTGAAGAAGAAGAAGACGATGATGATGATGGTGATGCTGCTGCTGCTGCTCCTGATGATGATGATGAGAAGGAGGATGGTGACGATGCTGATGATGATGACGATTGTACCAATGTTATAGTTGAGGAAACGCCGCCTCTTGAGATAATTGCGTAATTGCCTGCTAAGAGGGTCGCTGGCACGCCTACGATAATTGCTTGCTACGCTGACCACTCAAAAGGAATTGCGCTGTCCTGATGACGCTGGCTTAGCCGGTGAGGCGGATAATTGAGCGAGCTTGTGAACGATCCTAACCGCACGTTTTCGGATAGACGCAGAGCCTCGGACGGACGCAGACGAGAGGGGGGTTTACGATAGACGCGCGCTAATGACTTAGACGCGAAGGCTGGCCAGCTAACGACTCACACGCAATCACGGGACCAGACCGACTCCCAACTGAGGCGAAGAGAAAGAAAAGACAAGTGGTCCACTATAGGCTATTTACGACCGACAAATGGCGATTACAGCTGGTGCTATGGGTTATTAAGTTAGGGAAAACAGTCACCACGCAGAGGTGGTAGTTTGCAAATGAGCATTGTCGAAAGGTGCGCAGTGGGGGCGCGGCTCGGAGTGGCTGAGCTCTGCTGCGTTGTGGGGAGGAATTGGACCCCGCTTCCCACAGCCATTCTGTCGGGGTTTCTGGTGTGTTTTTGCGGGAATTATTGACGGGCCCGCAACAACCAACGATACTAAACCTAAACTAAGTACGTCGTACGAAAACTAAACTAGAAACTAAGAACAAATAAACATAGACTTAACGCACGGTCTGGGCAGAAGAATAAAACGAATTATCCTGTAACCGTCGTCCTATAAAGCATATTAAATACAGTACGTGACTTACGAATAGGTTTGCAATCGCAATACAAGTGGGCAGAAACTTTACAGCGTGGGGCGGAGCGAGTATTTGGGCAGTGTCACAGTTACATAATAATATGAATGACCTTGAGACGTTAAGGGTGTCAGTGATCGAGGGAAAGGAATAAATATGCGATACGTTAACCGCTTGTAGGACACAGTAAATCAGCGTAAATGAGCAAGAAAATTAGGGATAAAACGATACTGTGTCCTCATGTAAGCAATCCAGGTTGGGGATACATCAAATTTCCTTTTGGACTTTTCAATCCCACGGGGGTTTCCTATTTAAGACGGTGGCTTCCACGGCATCATCCTCCTCTTCCTGGTAAGCTTCTAGTAGGCACAGCTTTCTGACTTCTCTACTCAATACACCTTTGCTAGTCCTCACCAGTTCTTATCGAACTGCTTGGTCTTTGCTCTTGATAACTTCCTCTACAATGCCCTTAGGCAACAGACCTCTTGATGTGCGTAAATCACAAACTAAATCTAAATAGCCCCGCCTAAGATCTCGTATTTCAGGTAAACACTTCTGTCTATTCTGCAGTGAGGCTGGACCTTACCGTGGTGCGATGGTTTGTGTGCCTCAGCGATCCATTGAGCTATACTGGGTGGTGCTTTTGCACCTTCAGAGTCACTCATACCAGATTGGTCAATGGTTAGAGGCCAGACAAAATCAGCCTCCTGGTCCTCCAGGTTGGGGGTTGGAATAAGGGTGGCACCTTATTCCTTAAAATGGACTCCTTGTAGCCCAACGCCAAACCCGCTGCCTTGCGGTCAGGTATTTGAACCAAAGGCGTTGGTTGAGAACCCTAATCGTTCTCCTGTCTAGGCCTGGGCAACCTGACAGTATCCTGCCCACGCAATACTATGCATTTTCCTTCAAACAATTTCTTGATGCTCTGGCCACCGCAGAGGAAAAAGCAACAGTGCCCTATCTGCTGCATCGAGCAGGGTGGATAGGGGTTTGGATGCTACTGCTCAAGCCTTCCCGTCTTCTTATTCCCCCTCTTACGCTTCTTCACTCTTACCGTCCCATTCCAACTTCACTTATATCCCCCCAGTTTTCAACCCCCCGATTCTTGGCCCTCCCCCAAACATGCTTTGCTAGGCATTTACCTGCTAATTTCAACTCACACGTGAACGCGGAGCGTCACTCCTCTCCTGTCGACAAGCCCATGTCCAACCAAGCGGTCCAATCCAGTTCATCGGCTTCCATTTGGAGCCCTCGATCCTCCTTCAGATTGGCATGCCTCAATGTACGCACACTGCTACAAACCGGTCAACAGGCAGCATTTGCCTGAACATTGGAGACCCTCTCGATCGATATCTTCTGATTATCAGAGACTCGCCTGCAAGACTCGAGCACTGTGCTCACTCTGCTATCCCCTTCAGGGGACGCAAGCAGTATTTTCTCCTTGCGCCTATCCGGTGAAGATGCAGCTTCGAGCACCGGCCAAGCCGGTGTTGGTATTGCCCTGAGTCTACGGGCTGAAGCTGCTCTGGTTGATTGGATTCCAATCAGTAGCCGGATGTGTGCGGTCCGATTGGCTGGCTCGTTTAAAGCTTCGAAGTCGCGCGGGACTAATAGATGTCTATTCATCATCGCTGCCTATGCGCCCACAAACTGTAGCGATGATTCGGTAAAGAACGACTTCTACCGCCAACTGACCCAGCTTCTTCGCCACAGAAGAAACACGGACACTGTTGTGCTGGCGGGGGATATGAACGCACAAGTTGGAAATTTGTCGACTGATGAAATGCATCTGGACGTTTGGCACGGTTGTAGGCTTCCGTAATGATAAAGGTGAGCGGTTACTTCATTTGTGTGAAGATGCTCGCTTATTTCTTGCGAGCACTAATTTCCGACACAGCACCCGCCGAAGGGTGACTTGGCGCCCACCAACCTCGAACCAGCCTTGCACGCAGATCGATCACATTGCGATAAGTTACCGCTGGAGAGGCTGCATCCAGAATTGTCGCTCGATTTGGAGCACATGTGTGGACACCGATCATGCACTTGCATGTGCTGACATGCGGATGCGTTTTGGCGGACGCCCACGACGACGCTGTGAACGCATTGACACCAGCCAACTGACAAAACAAGCTGTTCTGAATGCGTATCGAAGTACGCTAACATGCGAGTTGAGCAAGCGCTCACAGGAGACAATTGATGGTCACTGGTCACATGTTCGCCAGGCCCTACTAGCAGCAGGCAAATCCTCATGTGGTATGTCTAATAAACAACATGGACATTGGGTCTCTCCGCAGTCTTTGGAACTTATAGATGCTCGCCGGCAAATCCCGGCTGGAAGCGAGCACAATGAAACTCGCAAAGAGCTCCGGGCAAAACTCCGTGCTAGCCTAAAGAGAGACCGCGAATCTTGGTGGTCTCATCGTGCATCAGAGATGGAAGTGGCCGCTGCCCTTGGCAACCATCGTAAGTTATTCCGTCTGATACGGGAAACGGGCAGCAGGAGACCTGGTGTTAGTGAAACTATACGTGACGAGAGTGGACAGCCTATCCACAATTTTCAAAACGTCTGGAGCGTTGGGCTGAGCATTTTGAAAAGCAATTTAATCGGCAAGAATTGTCCCACTCGCCGGTCCCTGATCGCCCCGCTCCGTGGGCTGTCCCTTTGGATCCACCCTCTCGCTCAGAAGTCGAACGTGAGGTCGGACTGTTGAAGCTGAACAAAGCCGCGGGACCAGATGATCTTCCTCCAGCCCTCTTCAAATTTGGAGGCTCTGCTCTTGTTGATGCTTTACATGAATTAATAGTGAAACTGTGGGAGCAGGACACTGTTCCAACCGACTGGAGCCGCTTCGTTATTGTTCCCATCTTTAAAGGCGGCTCGCGCTCGGAATGCGGCAGCCATAGAGGAATCAGTCTGATCTCAATCGCCTCCAAATTACTCGCGTCCATAATTCCCCACAGACGGACTGGCGCTCGTGAAAGCCAGATTCGTGAGGAACAAGCCGGGTTTCGTCGGGGTCGTGGCTGCATCGACCACATCTTCACCTTACGTCAGTTGTTGGAGCACCGTCACACATATTGGCGGCCCACCGTAGTCGTGTTCCTCGACATCAAAGGTGCCTTCGATTCGGTTGATCGATGTGCCCTTTGGAATTGTCTACTCAGGAAAGGTGTGCCCGAGAAATATGTAAATATTATCCAAGCATTATATGCGCGTAGCACGGGCAGAGTGAGAGCTTAGAGCAGGCTGTCGCCACCCTTCAATATCTCCAGCGGTGTGAGACAAGGATGCCCGCTGTCACCTTTCCTATTCAACTTCGCTATTGACGAAGTCATGGAGACTGCATTTACAGGACATGACTTGGAAGGTGTGGAGCTACTCCCAGGAGAACGACTTCTTGCCTTAGAGTATGCAGACGACATTGCCCTCATCTGTGACAGCTCCCAGACGTGTCAATCCGCGCTGGACAGATTAGCACTGGCTGTCAGTCGCTTCGGGCTTTGCTTTGCACCACCGAAGTGCAAAGCGTTCCTCCAGGATTGGCAGGGTTCGCCCCCTGTGCTGACCCTTGGTGGGGATCAGCTAGAAGTCGTTCAGAAATTCAATTACCTGGGAAGTTGTATCAACGCCCTTGGGATCGAAGACGAGATCACGAACCGCATAGCGAAAGCTCGAAGTGCTTTTGCTAACCTTCGCCACCTATGGCGACGGCGCGACAATACTCTCGCCCTGAAGGGTAGAGTGTACAATGCAGCGGTACGTTCGACCTTACTGTACGGTTGCGAAACCTGGCCCCTAAGATCGGCAGACATGAAGAGGCTACTTACGTTCGACCATCGGTGCCTTCGCAGTTTGGCTCACATCTGGTGGGAACACCGCGTGAGTAACGAGCGTGTTCGACGCCTTGTTTACGGCCTAGGAAAAGGGAATGAACCGCTCAGCACCGTCATTTCACTCACCAGGCTCCGATGGCTGGGCCACGTATTGCGCATGCCAGCCCACCGACTCCCTCGACGTGCGTTGTTTGCTCACCGGGGATGTGGGTGGAAGAAGAGGAGAGGTGGCCAAGCGATGACTTGGTCCAGAGGAATGAAGGCCCTCACTTCGGAGCTGGCCTCAGTTGGAGCTTCACGGCTCCCTGGTTGGGGTCCAAAAGACGGTGAACACGTTTGGCTGGATACACTTGCTGATATGGCAAGGAGCCGACCTCAGTGGCGTTCCTGCTGTGAGTTTCTTTGTCCCTCCCCATCCCTTTAGCCTCCCCCTCCATCTACGATCTTATTTCGTAGGGTAAAACGTAATTAAATTTTTGGTTTTGCCTAGTAGCCGGCTAGTAGCTTACCGGAACGATGCGTATCCGTTGCTGGTAGCTCAGCTGGCATTCAACTGTCGTATTTCTTTTTCCTTTATGTATTGTATGTGTGTATGTATTTCCTTTATGTGTTGCGGTACAATAGCGGAGGTGTTTTACCATCTCTAGCTGACATGTATAAAGATGATGATGTTGATGATTGGTTATTTGACGGAGCATTCTGACCAACTATTGTGCTTTACATGTCATTAGTAATGTTGGCTGATTTTCAAGTGTTCACCCCATCATCTGTGAATACTTGATTTCCGAGATGAGCCGGTGCAACTGTGGTATCATTGTGAAAGAACTTATCGTATTTTAGCGCGATCGAATTGTTGGCTTTCTGACGCACCGAATGTTCAGCTGCTTTTATAAACGTCACTGTTTCGTTTTTCTTGTGCAGCAAAGTGGATTATGGCTTGCTGCGACTTATGATCGAAGTGCTCCACGGTTGTGCATGCATTGTTGGAGAGAAAGTAAGCGTCTCAGTCGCAGGACCGGATTATTTGAGGGAACGGTTTCCAGTTAATACTTCGACTGGTGTAGTAGCGAGCAGGTACTTGTTTGTTGTCCATTTTATCGGTGAACATTCAGAATATCACCTTACCGTCCCTACTACGGATGTTCTCTTTAGCGTCTCTCAGTATGTTGGCCATACGCAATGTAAACATCACGTCTAATCGTGTTCGTCAACCTAGTTGGTACAGTAACTCACTGGGTTCAACCAACTGATTGAATAAATAAAGGCTCTGTGTGTAGACAAGAAGGTCTAGGAAGACCAGTGTATCTTCGGTATGTTTAATCCACCTACAATTTTGCTGTGTTTGTGCGTCTATTCCGATGTGAAATCGACAGCTGAGGTGATACGGTCAACATTCATGGTTGATGAATTTGGCGGGCTGCAGATAGATGCAAGTAAACCGAGGCTCCTGAGAAGGAGAACCTGAGAGAATCAGGGACATTTGCCAGCGGTGCATGTTCAAATCGTTCAGCTGCACATATCTGATGGAGTTGCATGAGGCATCCTACACCTTTTCTTTTACATCGATTTTACGAAAAGTGTTAAAAGGGTGTAATTGGATTTCAGTCTAACAGATCAGCGGTGTACGACATTTCGGTAACGAGGATTGCTTGCAGCTCGTCTACATGTGCAAGCATGCTTAGATAATACCGTTTGTTGACAATCCAGCTTTCGTTAATCAAACATAATGTGAACATACCATAAATGGTAGAATCAGCGTTCGCGTCACTGTTGTGTGAGTAATTGTAATCGCGGATTATTTGAGCGTTAAACATGTGTGAGAGCATTGGGAACGAGTCCCCTGCTAATAACCTTGCGGGATGGGTAGTGTGCCGTCCGCGATCGACGGTATACCTTGTGAAAGG